GGTCTTTTCCAACCGAGTGATTCTGTGATTCTTAGAGCAGAAATGGAGCCATTTTTCTTTGAAATAAAAAGTTGTGTTAAAACACCTCTGTCCTCCCAGATGCTATTCCACACTGGGACAAATAATTTCTGAGCTTAAAAATTCAGTTGCAGAATTGCTGCCTTTGAATCATTGGTTCACTTTAAAAAATTTAACCTGCCCTGGTTTGAGTGTCATGAGCACTTTCCATCAATTCCTGGGACTTCAGGAGTGTTATTAATATACTGCATTGTTTTCTTTGTGACAGTGTCAGCACAGCTTTGCTGAGGAGAAAAGCCATGTTGGCAGCCAACAGGTTGTACTTGAGCAGCTGTGTTACCTTCTGTTTTGGTTAGCGCAGCAAGAATCCCCAAACCTTACAGTTCAGGGAAAAGAGGAGGTTCAGCCAAAACTCAGAGCCCTCTCTGAACAAGTTTCTTGGGTTTTGTCTTTCCAAAACCCTAGCATTCTAATGAATTTGGCTAAATTTTCAAGCGTGTAAGTATGTTTGAAGCCTTATGTTTAGTTTCATGTTGGCATATGGGACTCAGCTCGAGAGTCAAGATGCCAGATCTGCTCATGCCTGTGTGTTCCTGAAAGTTGTTTGGTTTTGAGAGGATCAAGACTGATGTGCAACAATACACAAGGGTGGAAAAGCTGTGCTTAGAGATACTTGCCAGGTATGGGATTGAAAATGGCTGGGAATGCTCGCTGTGTGTGAGCTGTTCCAGCTAAAACTTGATGGGTGACCTCCTTATCGTGTGCCTCTTCTCTGTTTCCATGGGAACAGATGGGTTTTTTTTGTTGATAACAGATCTATTATCAAACTAGGAAAGTGCTGGGCAGCAATTGAGCCACTATTACCGTAAACCAGGGCTGACTACAGCTTAGGACATCACATGGCAGTGTGTGTTCAAATGTGGTGGCTAAAAATATCCTTCCTTCTTCCTCCTCTCAGGCACAGATGCCCCAGTGTGAAAGGAAGAGTCACTCTGGCATAGACTTGATTAGATCTGTAGCAGACATGGGGATTGGCTGCAAAGGAATGCTTTATGTTTGACCTATACAGAGAGCAGCAGTTTTTAACAGTTGTTGAGATAAATAAGTGTTTGTGCCTTTTAGATACATGTATTTTTTTTACAGTCTCTGAAGGGTGTCTGTGAATCTTTGTTTCATTTTGTTGCTTAATTTATCTGTATTTATTGGTACTTGGGGAAATTTTCAAAGCAAAATCCAGTTATATATGCAGTACTTAAACTAAATTTTACAGTTTTGATAAGTTTGGGGAGATCTTATGATAGTTCAGTTATGAGTCTTTATTTTTCTTATAAAAAAAGTAAGTTTTAAGTATCCGGACAATAAATTTAAATAATAATCCTTATCTGGGAAATCTCCTGGAGTCCAGTTGGAGGTATGGGACAGATGGATTTACTGGATGCTTTACTCAAAATTGTTTTGTAGCTAAGTGGTTTTGTTGCATGAAGTCAGTTCCTTCATTTCAATGGATTTATGATTTAAAAGAAGAGAGCACAATGTCAAGTGTGAACATCTAAGCCAGATACCCCAGTGCAGAGACTTTGAATATGGGTTCCCAAGTTACGTTTTAGCTGTGGGTCAGTAATGGATGTCAGCGGTGTAAGTTTTTTTGAGAGCTGAAATTTTACATGACTGCAGTTGTCATAGTAATAGCTACTTGCCTTCAGAGCAGCCACCAGAATTCCAGCCTTGTGCACATGACTGCAAAGCTGTCCTGAATTTTAGGTACTTCAGTAGAAGTCTTTTTTGCTTGACTAAACATTGGGAGCAGCTCCAGCAGTGTCTATTTGAGACAGTGTCAGAAAAAGTTATTTTGTAGATATCTGTGTTGTGGAGGTGACTCCTTGACATGATACATGAACATGGAGCTTTGTAAAGAAAGCGGTATGTTCTGCTGTCTGTGGAAGAGCTGGAAAGGGGAAAACAGGGGTGCTTACAGGGTGACTGTGTGTGTATAAGCTCCTCTGGTATATAAATGTAGAGCATGGATAGTTCAGCTCTTGGCCAGTGTGGGAATGGAGCTGTGACAGCTCGTTTAAATGATCCTAGAAAGGACAACTGGCTATGAAGATAGCATCGGTCTGGGTGTTAAGTCCTCAGAGCAAACAGAGCCACTCAAGAGGGGAGCTGTGGAGGATTCATTATTACAGCAGGAGTCCCCTGAACAGGCTGTACATGCATGTGTGTAGGCAGTTTACCTTACTGTGCCTTTTATCCAGCTGAGTTTTTCCTGGTCACAAAACTTAATGCGTGCTGCAGCAAGGCTTCGTCAGTGGCATTTGGCTTCAGGCCAAGCGTTAATGAATACCCCAAGCCCTGTGTGATTTGGATCCTCCGAATCTCTTAGCGTATCTTCAGAGCAAGATGAAACTCATTAAAATAATTTCCATTTGGGCATTAGAATTTCTGATAATTTTTAATACCTACTGCCAAAAGTACAAATGTGTGGTAATGTCCTTCATGCGAAGCTACAATTCATTAATTTTTTTCTATTTTTGGAAAAAGAACAGACTGCCATATCCCTTAACTGCTCTCTGATGGTAATGCATTGGGTTTACAGTGCGCCATCTTATCAAAGGTTCGATCTGTGCAGTCGTTGATAAAGGAATGCACGCTATTGCATGAGATTTGGTTTATTAGAAACCACTTCAAAATGTGTATTGTTTGTGTTCTGTTGTACTGTAAATCACTCTAGCGATGGTGGCTGAGGTACATAACAACCAAACTTCCTGGGCATTCAAGCTATGCGTCAAAGTCTTTGCATAACTGAGATGTAGATCTGGGCTTCAACCTGTGCCCTCTGTCTCCCTGATCTCTATGCAATTCACTTTCTTACAGAGCTGTTTTTAATCTCCATCTTCCCTGCTCAGCATCCCAGAGCTGCCTGCTAGTGTCATCTACCTGTATTTCAGATTCTGGAGTTGAATCAGGTTGTGCACAGAACGCCGTCTCGCAGTCAGTACAGTGGTTGTGAGAGATGAGTGCTGTTTTCTTGCTTAAAGGCAGTTCAGCAGACATCAGCTGAGCTGCGTCAGCTCTCCGTGTGCAGGCTTTTACCTCACAGCCTGTAACAGAGCCACACTTGAACTGCTCATGACCTGTGCTCAGATTGTCCTTGCTAAATGGCTGAACTGTAACACATGCTAAAATGATGCTTGTAAATAAATAAATGGAAGCTCAAAGTAGTAACTGCACAAAAGATACCTTGAATATTTGTATTCATATAATAGTACTTAGAATCTCTTATGTATTAAAGTCTCTTCAACTGAAAATATCCTGAACTAGGCCATAGAGGTGCATATCACCTTCACTGAGGAGATTCTGTTCTCTTCTTGCTTTACGAGGTTTCATTTCAGTCGGTGTTGAGGTTTTTCTCTTTTATGTGCAGCAGTCAGCAGCGCAACAGATTGGGAATTGATATGTCACGTGTTTTTGAAAGGCAGCAAAAATTGACCTTCAGAGTTTAATTTTCTGAAGCATTCCCATCAGCTATAGGAATTTTAAGGCCTGCATTTGCACTTGTCTGCTTTTCTTTTTTTTTTTTTATTTCCTCTCATCACCCTTCCAAAAGAGAAACCTAGTGAAATAGAAAAGAAAAAAGACGGAAACAGCGATAATTGCTTACGAACATTCTGGTCGTTTGATGGATATCTTCACCATAACTGCGTGTGTTGTAGTCTGTGATCTCTAGATCTTCATTCATGATGTCTCTTTGCATTTCCTAATCTCCCCTCACTCAGCAACACTAATCATGTGATACTTCTGTGACTTGAGGCTTTAAGGATATTTATCTGTCTTTTTTTTTGAACTCAGATCCAGCTTTTTGTGGGCCGTTGTCACAGAGTTCAAAAAAGAACCTCAGAAAGCTGAGAAAGAAAGAATTGAAGTTCTGGGGAAAAAAAATGTTGTTGTGGTGCTATATATTAAAGGGGGAGGGGGGGAGGCTCTGTGCGATGTTTACTTCCAAAACCAAGGAAAATTTTTTTGAGGAAATGTTGTTTAAAGTTCTAGTATGGCTTTATCTACAGAACATACCACTACTTTATTGGAGAGACTACTTTCAGTCAGTGTACCAGGCGTGTATATTGCCCTGTTCCAACTGACAAATTCAATGAAAAATAAAGCAGCAAAGTTTTTAGAGCAAGTGTGCTTTGAAGTATCAATTTGTGCTTTTTTTAAAGCTACCTGTTCGTGTGGCTCCTCTTCTGTGGCTTCTGATCTTTCATTCATTTTAGGATAATTACAATAAGAAAAATATCCTTTTAAAAACAACAACAAAAACCCCCACAAACGAAAACTTTGTTGATCAACATTTGCTGTTTGTATCTGTTTAACTTGCTCTATTAACATAAAAAACGCTCAACAGACCAGTCACGGTTTCTGCCGTCTAATTTAACCTGGTTTGAACTTGCATCAGCAAAACCTGCTGAAACCACCAGTTGCATCTGCAGCTGGGCCTGCGCTCCTGTTGTCATGAGGGAGAGTTTTGGTAAAATTCTCCACAATATAAATGTTGCCTAGAATCTTTAACATATCCAGTGTGCAACTGCTGAATTCAGGAACAAGTGATCATTAGAAGTGATAAAGAATCAGAGTTTCTTGAATTGCAGATTTTGGACAACATTTTGTGCTGGTGACAGCCAACTTAATCTTCGGCACAGATCTCACTGTAGTTATGTTACTAAAAGTACCTGTGGACTTTCTTACTAAAGCATGGGATTTTGGCAATAAAATCCTTTGGATATTCTAAATTACTCATCCAGCATTTTGTTCACCACACTTGTGAACACTCACGAGATGCAGTGGAGCAGGATGACTAGCAGCATTTTTCATAGTTTGAGAGAGCAGCCTTTGAAACAAGAATGGGAAGAATAAGCCAGTGCCTTCATCAGTTTTGCTGTATCTTTAAGTGTGGTAAGCTTGTTTTTTTTCTTTGCTTTCTTCAGGTTTTGAATGAAGAATGCGATCAGAATTGGTACAAGGCAGAACTCAATGGAAAAGACGGCTTCATTCCCAAGAACTACATAGAAATGAAACCACATCCGTAAGTAGATCTTTGGTGTTAGGGTCCCTTGCTCTTATTTAGTGCATCCTCTCAAACAGAAGAAAGATTGACTGTTGAGTTGTATCTCTGGCTGTAATGTTTTCTGTAATTCGTTTCACAGCTATATAGCAGGGTATTTTTGGAAGCTTTTCTGGTAGTTGGTCTAGTGTTTTGCTATAGGGTCAGGCAGACTGACCTTGGGGCAAACAGGCATAAACCAGCAGAAAGCTCTTTAGTAGTGAGCCCCAAGAAAAAAAACTGACTACATTCTTGTGATGATTCTCTGTTTTACTTAGCATAGCAGATTAAGAGTAAAAATTGCGGCATTCAGAACTCACCAGAAAAATGTTTGAGGATATCTGGAGCTGAACTCTTAGTATGTCTGTGTCACATCCTGAGTGTAGAATCACAGCTGTTTAGGCTGAACAGGACCTCTAACAGTGATCTGGTCCAACACCTTCCTCAAAACAGGCCAAACTCAGAGAGCGTGTACTGTCATACAAGTCTGGTTGCATTGTTTTGCAGCTCCAGAGAACTGTATTTGAGTAACTACCTTGAACATTTCTCTTAGATATAAAGACTCTAGCATATGAAACTAGTAGCCTGTCTTGACATGTATTTCTGCTGAATTCTAGTTCTACAAACCTTTGAGAACCTTCAACATCTGAACAAGAGAACAGCAAGCTCTGGGTAACGGATTCCAAGGGAGAAAAGGTTTTAAGAAGGAGCACCAACACCTATAATCAGGCTTTTTACAAGGAGCTGTAGTGTTTCAGTTGTCTACAAAAACTGACTTATTAATTGTTGGCTGTAACTATATCATTAAAACAATGCACTTCCATTCAATCAGAAGTTTTTTTTCTAAAGGCTCTTTTGAACTAGTAGAAGGAAGCTTCTGAGGTGCTGTGTCCCAGGAAGGGGAGATGGTATACTGCTTCAGTGCAGCCAAGTGGGAAATGAAGGAAGGATGCACAAGGCAATTCTGAAGTTGTTTAAAGCCTTGTCTGCTGCAGTAACATGTCTGGTTTACCCTGATTGTGCTAGTCCCCTGCACATCACAAATGTGCATGGCGATTTCTCTCTGTCATTGATTTGAATCATCATATGTCTTCTCATAAGTTTGTAGGCATTTGAGTTACACTGCGTTGATGTCTCCTGTGATGACGATGATCAGCTCTATAATATTCCATGGTATTTTGCTTTAGAGGGATAGAGCTGTCAGCTTTTAACTTTTTGATATCAAAAGAGAATGAACAACATCTGAGCCTGCAAGTGGGTGAATTTGGTAGTGTTTTTTAAGCATAGTTTATTTGACCTTTTCTGAAGATGTTTAAACTGCTGATGGCAGCTGGATGGAGTTAGGTCCCTGTGTCAGCAATGCTGGGAGTCTTAACTAGTGCATTAACAACCCTGGGAAATTATGCAAAAGTTTTTATAGCATAATGTTAGCTTAGCTGTAATGCAGAACACTTTTAAGTAGTCATACAGGTCATACAAAAAGCAAATTGCAGGCAGCTGATGAGATGTGAGACAGAGCATGTTCCTTTTGTCAGTCTAGTATCAAATCATGTTGTGAAATGGTGGCACCAGAGCTTTTCAAGAGGATTTGGAAAGAAAGCAACTGAAAATGGCTTTAAATCTTGTCCTAGGATCTGAGACTTAAATCCTCCAGCCCCACAGGTAGTTTTAAATACAGGGTGTTTTTTTTTCTTGCTTGCATTTTGCAAATCTTACCATTTGCTTTGTAACTAGTAGCAAATGAAGCTGAAAGGAAAATGTGGTGCCTCTCGGTCAGTGGCTGAGTCACCTGCGCTCTGAAGGGTTAATCTGAGTTACCACACTAATTAACAAAGCAAAGATGTAAGTAGCCATAGGCATGATACTCAGAGAAGAGCTGTGGGGAACTGTGGGCAGGGAGCCCTCTTGGGAAGGCACTACAGTGCAGTTCAGTGGCAGGACCACCTTTCTGTCTTTAACTGTGGCAGGAGAATAATTTGCTCTTTATGAAATGGCCTGGATCAGACTCATGGTGCATGTATCTCAAGTTCATAATCAGCTCTTCTTGAAGATCTTGCTCAAGTCTCACTTTGCATTATTGTAACTTGCGTGGAGGAAATCAGCCAAGCTAAGTGGTTGTGCGAAGTAAAGCCAGAAGAATTGCCAGACTGCCAATTGGAGTGAGTCTAAACGCGATGTGAACTTCGTGTTGTGCCAGTTAGTGCATCTCCCTCTAGCTGTGCAGCATCAGCAGTAATGCTGGGATTTGGTTTTGCAGTGCTGACTGGATGAGTTTCGCCTGTGTTACAAAGCTGGTTGGAGACAAGCGTTATCAAGCTTAGCCCTTCGGCAGGGAAACTGGGGGAATGTCCAAGAGAATTAGGCAAAAAAAAATGGCCAGGACATGCTGTGATTTTTATTAACTTTTCATTCATTCTGTAGCAATGATTCATATATGCACAACGCTTCTGATGCTTTACAAGTATGTTCTTAAGTAGATGCTAGTCCTTCAAAATAACTTTTCCTTTCATCTATGGGGATTTCTTTTAAACTTTGTTTAGAATTCAAGCTCCTTTTACTCTGAATGGCTAAAGTGGTAGTGAAGTTATAAAACTGCAAGGGAGTTCAAGAATTGTGAATTTTTTTATTCAAGTCTTTCTACTTAAAGTGAAATGCCCTAGAAACAGCTGGCAGAAAACTTCAAAAATTTTATACTGTTACTTTGGAAGTGTAACTTCCTTTAATCAAATTGTACACTTTGTAGTGATTCAGTAAAATTTAAGGGGGAAATAGGGTATAGTTCTGGGGCTTTTGGAAGGGCTACAGAAGTTCTGTTGAGCTTTTTCAGGCTTTCCTTCTATTTGACAGAGTAGGGTGAGGTGTTTTGGTTTTGTTTTGTTTTTAAATTGGGCTTTCATTTTCAAGTAATATGCGAGTAACTGAGAATTACTTGAGAACTAGACAGAATTAAAACACTTTGTAGACAAGAACTGTGGCAAGATGTCTAAACCCATAATATAAAGCTTGCTTTATATAACATTTGATAGATGCAAAATTCAAGACTTCCTTATCTTTCTGAAAATTGAGTCAAAAGCCCAGGAAACAAAATACTACCTTTGAATTCTGAAGGAGTTTCACATAATGGTTTCTGTTGTTGATTTTTTTGAAGGCAGCAGAGTGCAGTGAGAGACAGGTAGATGCTCTCTATGCTGTCTCTGCCACCACCTTGGGTGCTGAAAAGCAGTGCAGATGCTAAACCACCAGGAAAGTACTAAATGCCATGAAGTTTATCACTGGAAATAGGATTGTGGTGGGAGAAAACTTTTCCTTTTCATTCCAGGGGATAAAAAGTCCACAACAAGTAAAAGATATCTATAGGTGATCATGGAAACCGAGTTTGTAAACATGATGTATCACTTTCAGTGCCAAAATGCTTTTCATAATGGAGCTGCATAGCTAAGTGGAGTGAATACTCTTTCCAAGGAGGATGTCATGTTGCATGTAGTAGAAATATATCTGTGGACTCATCATCCTTGATATAATGCAGGGATGTGTTTTTGGGTATGGTGAGCAGATACTGAAGTCAGTAGGAGTGAGGGCTGCTAGTAGCTAGAGAGTCTGGTAATGAAGTAATCGGTTCTCCTTCACCTCCAGAAATAGCTGCTGCTTAGAGAGGGACATCTGGTGACTTTGATTTCATGGATGCTTCGACTTCTCTTAAAAGCTCTTTTCCAGGGATGGTTCTGCAACTTTTTGCTGAACTAAAACCTTCTCTGTAGAAAGTAAACTTTGTGACTGGAGCCCTTGTTATTAAATGTTCTTCTTTAAGGTCAATCATCTGCATGGTTCTAGGCTGTGGTAAGTGCTTCTATCCTGTGTGATCTGTTACTCAGAACCGAAAGCTGTATTTTTTGGTTGTGAAGATGGTTCTGCTTTTCCCACACCATGTGACCTACCACTTAGCCCTGGTTTGCTTTTAATCTTGGATTAGTCTGAAGTGTAAATGTAAATGTGGTTAAAAATCCCATGACCAGGGGTTGTTGGTCAGTGCTGATGATTGGTTTCCTGGGGTACGCTCACCCTTGGTGTCGTGGACGTGGTCAGTCTGTGTCTTTGACTTCTATGCAGCTGTCAAGAATTTCAGATGTGGCTTGATGGTGCAGCTATTTCATGTGACTTCTTGTGTAAAAACTGCTAGGTTGTCCTGACTGAAGGAGAAAGCAAGCAAATAGGCTACTGAAACAAGTATTATCAGCATCTTTCCTAGAACTGATTTGCATGCCCTGGATTGGCTTTCTGACACACGATAGCTGACTTTGACCGTAGTGCTCTGGCAGAGGTCAGAAAGATTGGACTCTGGGCTGCAGGAACAGTCAGCTGCTGAATGAAACTGCTCATTCTCGCTGCTGAAGTAGCCGCGTCTTACCACCTGATCTAAAAGAGACTAGAAGAAATTGGGTTTGATACAAAATGCACTTTCTACTTGTGCAGGATGGTTCAATCCATAGACAGGGTCTTGCTTTTAGAGCTGTGATGTTTCTGAAGAGACACCTGTGAGTGAACTCCCAGTGTTTCCCTTGCATTTTGCAAATACTACCTTTTTTTTAAGATTCCTACCTGCTAAAATAATTATATTTCTGTGCTTAATCCTTATTAATTTAAATTTTCTGTAATATCTGCTCTTTAAATGATGAATTAAGGTATGGGTGAGTTCTCCTTAGGAGGCATAAGTAATAAAGGACACTGTGTAATTATCTTTGGGTACTAATAATAAAATAAATGCTGCTGTATCATAGGGAAGTTTCATAGTGACCGTCCACCAGTGCAGGACTCCTTTTTTGTCACTGTGTTGATTGAATCATACAGTTTGGACAATTAAGACTTTGCATAGAGAGAGACATGAGACTTTATTCCTTTGTGACAGAGGAAGGGACTTGAGTTTCTCACTTTAGCTAGGCATTTAATCTGTTTGACTTTAGGTTATGAGCCCTGGTTACTAAGACTTCAGTGCAAACCGCAGCAGACATAATAACTTTGTCCAAGGTTGACGCCAGTTCCCAGGATTTTCATCTTAGTCTCACAAAGCGGGACTTTGCTGTGAAGCAGTCATGTACATTAGGTTCTCATTGTGATGTTCTCTATGCTAAACTGCAGATACAATAGGGTGCAAAACACTGTGAATCATGCATTAAATTTTGAGCAGGTTTTTTCCACCTGTGAAAATAAATCCCGTAATTTGAGAATTTCACTCTTACCACGTCTCTGCTTTGCTAAATTGGTTGAAACAGGGTTATTGCAAGCACCTGCTCACCAAGTCACGGTTGCTTCATTGCCAGGATGAAACACTGAAAAGCTGTGGTTCAGGAGCCAGTATTTGAGTGGCAGTGAAGTTATTTCTGTTAGGAGTCACTTCATCTCTGTGTGAATATCTACATCTGGCTCTTCTATGAAAGGATTAAAATTCTTAACTTCCTCTGTTGTTTTCTTTTCCTCACTCCACAGGTGGTTTTTTGGAAAGATTCCCCGAGCGAAGGCTGAAGAGATGTTAGGCAAACAGAGACACGATGGTGCCTTCCTCATCAGGGAGAGTGAGAGTGCTCCTGGGGACTTCTCCCTCTCAGTCAAGTAAGTAATGCCCTGAAGCAATTGTGTGTGGTAATCAGGCCATCTACTGCTCATGTGGATTCATGAGTAAAGGACAAGTGACTGTCAATGCTGAAGAGCAGGAATAATCTTCCAGATGCCCTGTAGCAGTCCTGTTCTTCCAGTGATCCTTATTTATTGCCTCTTTTTAATAAAATAATAATATAGATAAGATATGCTCTGGTCTGTAATACGCCTAGAGGGGTGATCAGGTGGCATGTTGCTGTCTGGCTTGTGTAGTCTCAGGCACTATCTGCTGGTTTGTTTGGGGATCCCACTCTTTCTTCTTCCAGCCGCACAGTGCCCACTGTGTACACGTTCTCTCCCATCCTCTGTTATTCCTCCTCTGCAGCACATGTTATTCCACTATCTTTTCTCTTTATGTAGTAAGTACACATTCAAATATGTTTTCCTACCTTGCCTGTCTGAATTCACTGTAAAATAGAGGTATTAGAAACTTGAAAGTGTACGTGACACAGTTCAACGTGGGTTCGGAGTGGGAGGGGTTTATGTGCTCAGCAGTTGATTTTTGCCTTTTTTTTTCTGTAAACTTCCCCTTTCCTACCAGAAATGGACAAGATTTTCTTTAGAATCCTAACAATAGTATTTGATAATTCATGCACTATTCCTAGTTTGCTCCATTTTCTGTGGCTATTGGTGATCTCAGTAGGACTTTTTTTTTTTCTGGTAGTCTTTGGTTTGTAGCCAAGGTTTGGTCCTCCTGTACAGCAGCACTGAGTCATGCCAGCAGACTGGATTAAAGCCACGGATTTTAAGAGATGTTTATATTTTTGTCTCGGATACAATCATCAGAGCTGGAATATTAGATATGAATGGAAGCTCCATTCCAGAAAGTGCATTCCTTTAAGAAGTGTAGTTCTAGTAGCATAGCTCTGCCTGCCTCTTAGCTTAGTGTTGCCACCTGGTGGTAAGGCCTCAGCTGATTTTTTTTTTCCTGTTTAATTTAGAAAAGTCTTTTTCCTAAAGAGCGATCTGCAGGATTTGAAATAGTGAGAATCTCTCAGGTTGAGGAGAGGAGAGCAGAGGCAGTACTCGTGAGTTGTTTCACGATAGCTTTGTAGCCAAGATACCATTTGTTTTCAGCCAGTGCATAGAGGCTATGTACCAAGTGGGGAATAGTTGCCTCCTGTTTTCAGTGTTTTAGATTGAAGGAAAAATACTCATGTGACATTTGTCTGGAAAATCCCCATGGACTTTTTGGAGTTCCTCTTTATTCAGAGTAAAATTGCTGGAAAAGTAGCTTCAACTGAATGCCATCATTTGTCAGAAAGAATTGTTAACACAGAATTGGAGTTGCTGTGTTCCATGTGCTGCATCACCTTTTGAGCATTTTCTGCTCTTTGTTTTTGAAGAACCTGAGAGATCCTTTTGTTTTACAAGGCAGTCTTTTGCAGAAGTCCAGACTGGCTGCCAAAACTGACAATCCTACCCTCCTTGTGGCAGTGTTTTCCCAGCAGTTTACCCATAGTGGGACTGGTGCTTGTGTGTATTGCATTATCACACGCACCCACTGGTGCTGTGTGAGGGAGGGACTGAGGCAATGAGAAGTACAAGACCATAGCAAGAGCAGCACAAACCTAAACTGGCTCAAGTCAGTTGTGAAATTACTGTGTGTGAAGAGCTAAACCAAAATGCTTCTACCGTTTGACTTTGGAATCTTGTATTTGGGAATGTGGAGTGGAAGGCACCATGGTGAGCTCCTACAATTTGACCTTCCACTTGTACTGCAAAGTCTGTCTGAGGTATCTGTGCACTGTCTTCAGTGACTCAGGTGACTGCATACATATATCAGTGCCAGCTGTGTGGCAATGTAGTATAAAATAAAAAGTTGAAATACTGTATGTCGTCCAGGATAAAGAGGGTTGTGACACTGAAATCCTTTATGAAGAGACCTTAAACTTCTGCAAATTAAGAGTGGTTTGGAAAGTTGTGCTTAGTAATTAATAATGTGCTTTTTTATGTTCTTCATTCTTTCTGCACAGGTTTGGAAATGATGTGCAGCACTTTAAAGTGCTTAGAGATGGAGCTGGCAAGTATTTCCTCTGGGTGGTGAAGTTCAATTCTTTGAACGAGCTGGTAGATTATCACAGATCCACATCTGTCTCCAGGAACCAGCAAATATTTCTCCGGGACATTGAACAGGTGCCACAGGTAAGAGAAGTGGCCTCATGAAGTACACTTTCCAGACTATTGCAACCACAGTCTGAAGTGTGATTGCATCTGAGAGTAAGTGAGTAGGAATGGAGAGAAGCTGACTGACATTTTTCTTGTCTGTGGAAGCATATCTTTAGATCCTACAGCCAGAATTATACTGGGAAATAGACTTTGCACAAACATCCTGCTTACCTGCTAACTCCTAGTCCCCTCTTCAGTTCTGGCAAAGTGTTATTGTTGCTGCTTGAACACTTGGCTTGTCTTAATGTTTATGGATACTGTTGCAGGAAGGCCGTCTGATTCCTGTGATTTAAAAACAGTTTTACTCCTGTTTTAGGAGACGGTAAGCTGCTTCGTAGCCAGTGGAGCTTTGGTGCTGGTCTTTCCTGAAGAGATGGTTACAGGTGGTAGCATATGGAGCATCTCTAACCTGCTGGTTTGGATCTAGCCAGTGTTGAAAGAAACCCAAATCTACTGCTCAGTGCCAGCAGAGCAGCTTGAGTGTATCTAGCTCTTTGTTTTGTTTCATTTCCCAGAGCAATCAAAGTGTTATGTTGGATGTAACGGGATCTTTTTGTCAATTTTGGATAAAAACATTTTGCCTCCATGTGCAGTACTCTAATTCCAGCTTGAAGACAAGAGGTGTGGAACTCGTACTACTCTCCAAGTGCCATGGGCACCCTTTGCCACAGTTTGTCTGAATTAACATCTGGCTCTGTGCTGTCGGGTCAGAGATAAGCAGAGGATGAGAAAACAGCTGGCTGAAGTGGCAAGCATGAAGATACCCTCCTAGCCTCATGATTTTAAGAATACAAATGCATTTTAAATGAACAGTTAACTTTTCCGTAAGAACGGAAGCGTTTGCTGACCAGGCAAAGTGCTCTGCAACAGAATTTCTTGATGCAGGAGTTTTAAGGAAAAAGTGTAAAATGCCAACATCCAGTTTTTAGGTAGAACTTTCTGTATCACAGTGTTAGGTAGATAAGTAATATTCATGCTATCAGTTAGTGAAAACAGGATGAAAAGCAAAAAACCCCATTGTATGGCAATAGAGTACAGAGTTACAGCGAGTCATGAAGACTGGGAAATAATAGGAAAGCATCTGAGTCATCTGCTATCATTATTTTGGCTCTTTCACAGAAACTTGACTTCTTTTCTACAGTCTTCTCTAGACCATGCTTTCCTGCTCTCAAGCATCTTGTTACAGGTGATGGAAGCTGGCTTGCAAGGAAATGAAATGACCCAAATGCTTATTGCTAAACTCTGGTGTAAGTGAAGCTCCTTCCTGAGGGAGGAGGTGTCTCAAGTGCTGTGGATGATTCTCACTTTGTGTATCTTTTTCTTTCCCCTTTCAGCAACCAACATACGTTCAGGCCCTGTTTGATTTTGATCCTCAGGAGGAAGGAGAGCTGGGCTTCCGCCGTGGAGACTTTATCCAAGTCCTTGACAATTCTGACCCCAACTGGTGGAAAGGAGCCTGCCACGGACAGACGGGCATGTTTCCACGCAACTATGTGACCCCAGTGAACCGGAACATCTAGAGATAAATATTAGAGATTATTTAAAGAAACCAGAGAAACCGTAAATACACATACAGAGCCTAACTGCAGCCAGTGACCTAAAATCACACGGCGATAAAACCCGAGTCACCTTTCACCGTGAGGTGATCCTCCTTCACTCAGTACGGAACTTCAGGGGTGGCGGGGAGGGAAGAGTTCAACTTACACACCAAAACTTATCTTAAAAAAGCAAAAAAAAAGAGAGAGAGAGAGAAAAATGAAAATAACAAATTTCCTCAGCTGCTCCTGGGTTACCCCCTTTAATTCACTCTTCTTGTTTCCCCCTCCTGCTCTGTCCATCAGTGCATGAAGTTTTAATGCCATATAAAGTCCTAGCCATGCAGTTAAAGGAAAAGGGAGAAGCTCTGCTGGTATTTTCTCTCTCTGCAAATGGTCTTCATTTGACATGAAGGGACATGAGAGAAGAACCAAATCCACAGTCCTGCCTTTAAAAAAAAAGTGCAAAAATGATCAGTCTCTGCTTTTGCCTTCAACATTCAGCTCTTCTTGCCTGGGAAAGATATGAGGTGTTAATCTAATTTTTACTGTCTCTTCTCCTTTGGCACTTTCTTCTGAAGCTCAGCAGTTTCCAAGCAGGGGAAGGGAGAAGAATTGTGTGGCTTTTTTGTTTTGTTTTGGTTTTTTTCCTTTTGAGTTACAGAGCTGCTTTGAGATACTCCAACCTACAACTGAAGTCTGTTAACGCTGTGCTGACAGCATTTTTGGTTTTTCTTAAAGGTGTACGGTTGAGCACACTCTGCAATTTTTTTCCATAGTGCCTTTCCCTTATTTTCTTTTTTATTTTTTTTTAAGTTAAAAGGACAGTCCACAGCTTTTCAGAGGGTTTTTTTCTGCCTATGTGTAAATAAGTACATTTCGGGGAAGGGTGTAAAGGAGGGTGGTTTTATCAATGGACATTTGAGAAAAATCTACAAACAGAGATGGAGCTTTAATCTTAAGATTTGTCTTACTGTTCAATTTTCCTTATTCCAAGGAAAATAAAATCAAGGCATTCAAGTGGCAGCTTAGACTGCTCAGAGTTGGGGAGCTGCAACCAGGAGCCTCAAACAAAGTAAGAGAAAGGGGGAAGATACGACCAGGGAAAATGAGGAAGAATATTTTGGGGAGGGAGGGTTAAGGGGGGAATTTGAGAAATAATAGCCCTGAGAAGTCCTGTAAAATGTACATTCCTGTGTTGGAAAACTTTATAATGCAGAAAAACCTCAAGAAATAGTGCTTGAAAAAACTTTATGCTATTAGTGAATGTTTCTATGTGATGCATGTAATCAGCCTGTCTCTTTGGCCTGGATAGGGAATATTTGCAGTCGTGTTGCTCTTGAAAAGTGGGGTTGGCATCACTGTTCTCCAGTTTCTCCTCCCTCCTCAGGTCAGTGTTACTGTTGAAGTAGATTCCCCCACCCCGCTCCCCATTCACAGCAGGCTGTGTGATGACTGTAATCCCCGCCCCGCACCATAATGGCCTTCGTTGTGGCCGTTTGCTCCTCCACCAGAGCAGTGTGACGTTAAATTGGTCAGAAAGGAAAGCAATCAAGCTGCACCGCTCTCTGTGCCAATCTTCAATTGCATTATTTTTCCTTTTGATGGCCGTTTGGCTGGATCCCTTCACCCCACCAACGAATCCAAAAACTGCAGCGGAGATGTCCTCCTGCCCTGCCGAAGCACAGGCAATCTTTTGTTGGAGGGTGCCTTTTTTTGTACTAAGTGTTACAGACGTTTTATTCCTGAGATGGACTCTGCCTTACACTTTAATTTTCCAGCAGGTGAAAGAGAGAGCTATCCTGTAGAGTATTACTTTCTCCCCCTCTCCTTGCTAGCTGTAACTCACTTTTTTCCTTCTTTGTAAAGTGATTGGAAAAGGAATCTGTGGCATTCTACACCTGGACCATTTGATTGTTTCCTTATTTTGGAATTGGTGTATATCATGCAGCCTTGCAGACATATGTCTTGTGTGTGTATATATATAAAAAAAAATCAGTGTTTAAATAAAAAAGGCCTATGTACTTAATCCTTTAACTCTTCAGCAGCATTTGGTAGATAGTAATTAACTGTGAATAATAAATATACATTGAATTCTTCACTTGGGCATCTGTCTTTCATTTCAGTTAACTGACCAAAATAGAAGTTATTTACTTAATTTATAGGATATTAAATTGCTATGAGAGGGAAAAGCTGTAAGGGGTGCGCTCTGGCCTGAAGAGCTCAGACCCTTCAGCATAGTAGTTCAATCTCGGTGTGCCTGGCTGAATTCATTACTGTTTCAAGCTAAGCCGATGGAGAGCTGTGTCACTTGGCACGTCTGGCTTTATCGATGGTGAGGAAGAAAAAAGAACGATCACGTCACTTCCAGGATTGAAGGCCATGTATTTGTCAGCTGAATGGGAGGATGGCACTTGTTGTTTGGGGGGGGATTTTAAAGGTTTTTTCCTAACTGCTCAAGTGCCCCTGTGGTGTGGGCTGTAATGTCATAAGGAGCCAGTAATGGAGAACAATACACCACTTATTCCTGGAGCATCTTGCGTGAAGGACGGGGGGGAACATGGGCGTATGGCTTGTGTGAACAGGGCTCAGGCTGCCCCGGGAGATTTTGCTCTGCTTGGTCAGTGCCTTGCAGATCTGTTCACTTCTGGTGCCTGAAGAAAGAGAACTGCTCAGTTGTGCTCACGAGGTGTGTGGGCAGCTCTGCAGGTTACCTGTTGGGCTGTTGCTTCTGCAGCTTCTCTCCAGCCTTGTGTTCAGAAAGTGCCTGTGAATTTTGTAGCGTTTTGACAGACAATAGGAAAAGGCTGACTGACGTGAGGGTGGGGTTTGGTTTTTAACAGTTGCTCGTAGTTACGATGCTCAAATACAGATGTAGCCAAGGAGCTGTGGTTGCTCAGAAATGCCTGGATATTCCCATGATTAGTTCTTTATTTTTCATTTGTGCTAGTAAGTCAATATAGAAATTACACTGTGCTTCGGAGCTCTTGGCTTTTCTGTAACACTGCAACAGAACGTGCTCCTCAAAATTGTGTTATTCACACCTTGGGCATCTAGTGAAAAGTTGAGAGTATCCTCCTCTCCTTGTGCTTTACAGAGGGAAGAAAAACTGCTGCTATTCTTGTGTAATGTCATGGCTGAGGCCAAAGTGGATGAACCCCTGCAGCCCAGGCCTTTCTGTGCGGGCGTTTTCCTCCCCTGCTCACCAGTTTTGCCGTGTGGGTCAGCAAAGCTGGGGCTGACCTGTAAAAAATAAAAAAAGCCTAAATGCCCCCATATTTTCCTGTCATCCGCCTGATACAGCAAAGCAGCAGCAGGGGCGTGCCAGGATGCAGGGTCCGAAAGAAGAACAACAGCTCTGGGCCGAGCCCCCTCCATTTTGGAAGCGGCGCTCCCCCGTGCAGCGTTGCGGGGCGGGGCCAGGGGACTCCATTTCCCAGCGTCCCCCGCGGCGCGCAGGCGCGGTGCGGCCGGAGGTCCCGGCG